CAGTATACTTGTGTGACAATAGTCATATGTGTATAATAACAGTAGAAGTATGACTAATGACTAATGATGGCAGCAGCAGCAGGAGGCATCTGGCAGGACCACGGCAGCAGCACAACCACACACGTCACTCTGTCCAGGCACCGCTGTGATATGAGTTAATCTGAGAGACAGTGGAGCACAAAGGCTCCGGAAGCTGTCCTCTGGAGGACTTCAGGACCTGACAACATCTGAGACAATGAAAACCATAAAACTTCAGTCCATCACCACCTCCTCGTGATTTGCATGTAGACTCATATTCCAGTTTACATGCAACTGTGCATATTCAGATTAACGAGCCCTAACATGCTGTTTATTACGTCAAAATATGGGGCCTCTTTGTCACATTCTTTAGGTCATTCCTGAGCAGTTTTTATGTTGTGACATGGTTCATTGTCCCACTGGGGAGAGTCTGTCTGTGCATCTGTCTGTGTGGACGCCCTCAGGTACCAGTCTAATCAGTGTTGACAAGGTAATCAGTGTTGTTTTCTTCATCTATCAGTGGTTTTAATAGCTGACTGGTGTCTGTGGCTGAGTTCAAATGACCTTGCCCTAATTCACAGGACTCAAAGACCCAAAGACATGTTGCATGAGATTTCTGATCTGACCAACAGAGACACATAAATGTGGCTGATACACAACTCATGACTCAAAAAGACTGAGGATCTCCTGTAGACAAACTCTAACTCATCACTCTCAGCAGAACTTCTCATGTTTGCTAAACCCATCATGTAAACAGCAGAGCAGGTGCAGACACACCTGGCTTTTAAAGGGATTTGGAGAAGACACTCTGATTGGGTGAATTCATGTTACACCCAAAACACTGCTGTGAATACAAATGTTTTGCTGCCTTGGGCCTTACTCAGTGTGGTGAACTAGTAAAAGTGGAGTTGAACACTCCCTGCAGGCAGCTGCTCCATGCTCTGTGGACCATAAGCTATACATTGTTTAAACTGAGTCCTGGATGTGTTCAGACCTGCACCAACACACAGCTCATTTAGGACCACATGCAGACTGTGGACCTCCATGAATAACGACAACAGTGATCATCTCAGACTCTTCACACAGCAGACTTATAGCCTGAGCAGAGACTTGAACCCTGGACCCCCAGACTGAGGGCCTGGGGCTCTACCGACTCAGTCCTCTGCAGGAGGGCAGACCTTGAATTGTATGTGCCCTGTCAAACCAAGATAGGTTGCAAACTGATTTCTGACCTTGCAAAAAGAGGAACATATACTGTGTGTGGATACATGTCAATGACAGCGTCCTCCTAAATCGGGCTTCAAAGACATTTGGATGTAACAGGCACACTGCAGAGAAGTCAGAAAGTGCAGCAGCCGGCCAAAATTCACCTCTCATTCATAACCAGAAGCAGACTGTGGACCTCCTGCAGAGCTACTTGAATGACAGTGAGCACTGCAGGTGATTTTATCGCCTGAACAGTCTCAAAGACCTTTGGACTTGGACTACAGGCATGTTCCCACTGGAAGTCTGAAGCTTGGTCAAACGGCAAATCCAATCACAGCCTCATGCAGACTGTGGATGTTCTGCAAGTTAATACTCTTGTGAAGCCTGGGCAGCTCAGTCAATACAGCATCAGACTTTTAATCTGAGCATCCAGGGCTCAAGTCCCTGATTACAGGACATGTGTGATGCTGACTGTTGTTATCAATCATGAAGCTCTGCAGGACGTCCACAGTCTGCTCCTGGTCATTAATGACATGTGAATATGTGCAGTTCTCGGCATCTGTTACATCCACAGCTCTTTGTGACCTGTTTATGAGGACGCTGTCATTCAGAGTCGTCTTCTTGTTTTCAAACTAAATTACAGTCGAAGTCTGTCCAGAAACTCCAGTTCAGGCAGGATAAAAACAAACTTCAACAATACCCAGAATGCACTGCTGCAGTATTAAAATCTACCAACTCTTTGATGGTGATGGACGTGGGGATCTCGGTCCAGAGGCGGGCGAACTTCACAGGTGTGACCAGCTCCTGAGGGTCTCGGTCTACGTGTGCGTGGAGCATGAGGCGGCAGAAGGACGCCCGCAGGTCAAAGGGCAGCGTTTCGTCCATCATACACAGGAAGATCAGCTCCACGTCCAGCTGCTTGGAGATCTCGTCTATGGCCAGATACTGACGGTCCAGACACATCCGGGCAAACAGCTTCAGCTGGTACCTGAGGGCATCCACACAGACAGACAGACAGACAGACAGACAGACAGACGGATGGATGGACAGACAGGCAGACAGACAGACAGACGGATGGACGGATGGACAGACTCTGTGAGCTGTGATTTCTTTTGTTGGAGTTAATTTACAATAAACTGAAAGTTAACAGTTTCATGTTCATGACATCATCTCTGGACAGCAGCTGTGTGTCTACCTGTAGTAGGTGAGGACGTTCTCATCGTGAGCGTTTCCTTGTCTCGCCTCCTGAGCCAGCTGTCTGATGCTCTTCTCCTGTCTCTCATTGGTCTTATCTGTCCATACCAGCCACACCTGCAGCGAGAGACGAGGACAAAATCAAACTGATGAGACAGAGACGACCACCTGCAGCTTCATGTGGTGAAGGTGAAGACACTGTCTTTGTCCGCTGTGTTTCACCCTGCATGTTAACTGTACTGAGTGTGTGCATCAGGTGCTTCCCCAACAGCAAACCGTGGATGACAAGGGACGTCAAACATCTGCTGCAGGGAAGAATTACAGCCTTCAGGTCTGGCAACAGGGACCTGTACAGTGCTGCCAGGTCCAACCTGAAGAGAGGCATCAAGGCAGCCAAGGAGGACTACAGCGAGGGAAACCCACAGAAGGCATGGCAAGGTATTCAGCACCTGATCTAATATAAATACAGCAAAGACACCTCCACCACCTCCAGTGACTCTTTGGCAGAGGAACTGAATCCCTTTTTTGCCCGCTTCGAGGTGACTGATACAGCCAGTGGGAACCTGCTGCCTCCAGCCTCAGACAGCCTGGTGCTTACTGTGAGCACAGAGGACGTCAGGAGGGTGCTCTGAGGTGTTAACTCCAGCAGAGCTGCTGGTCCTGATGGCAGCCCGGGGAGGGCACTTAGAGAGTGCGCCGACCGGCTGGCAGAGGTATTCAGCAAAATCTTTAACCCCTGTCTGTCTACATGCACTGTCCCCAAATGCTTTTAATCTGCCACTTTAGTTCCTGTCCCCAAGAAATAATCCATCAACAGCCTCAGTGACTTCAGACCAGTAGCTCTCTCAGCCCAGAACATCATTGGTACACAGTTGCAGCACTTGAGGACTTGTACAAAAGCAGCTGTCTCCGCAGGGCCACAAACATAATTAAGGACTCTTCCCACCCAGGACACCAACACCTCACGCTGCTGCCCTCTGGAAGGTGATACAGATCTATGATAGGCTTGTGCCGATTTCCGGTTTAACCGGTTCAGTCCGGTTTAAGAGCTCCACCCGGTTTAAAGCCATATTTGGTAATCCTGTTCAGAAACACTTTTTGTTATACTGGGTGAAATGGTCCTTCATCCTGAGAGTAGTCAATACATAATGTGTTCAGAAAAGGAATGAAAAAAATCTGATCTCTGTTGCAGCTGCAGGCCTGTAAAAACTCTGACCAATCCCTGCCCCTCGGTGCGAGTGGAAAGAACCAATCAGATGCCTTCATGTCTCATCCTTATATATTGCTCTGGCCCTGCCCACGCCCCCTCTGTCCCTCCCTCCTCCCTGCGTGCACTCATCACGTGTCACCGTTGCCGGAAATATTCAGCACACTCCTCAGCAGAAATACTGAGTTAGCAGGAGTTTGCCGAACAATGGCAGAGAAAATGCAGCCAAAAGTACCACTTCCAGCTTTACTTGTAAAGGCTTGCCCCTCTAAACAGGCTGAGAAAAGAAAGTTAGAGGCAGAAAAGGCTGCTACGAAAAAGACTTTGGATAAAGCCAGAGGACAAACCAGAGTCAACAACGGTGCAGCTTTTGAACGGTGGAGACAACTGAGGGAGCTGAAGGGCCTGCAAAGTGATGCAGAGGTTGCTGTTAGAGGTGGGATACCCGACCGAAGCCCGACGGGTCCCTTCGGGACCCAACAGATCGGGACGGGTTCAGGTAGTATTCTAGAAGTGGCGGTCGGGCCGGGTCGGGTTCGGCGGCCTATTTTCTATATGTTTTTCCCCTCTATTTTCCATTCAGAGCTGGGATTTCCGTTTTTATGATTCGCTTGAGGGCACCTGAATGCACCACAGCCTTTTAGGGACCCTCTGCACCGAAAAGGGCTGCTTTTGACTTTGAAGACTGGGAAAATCTACCCCTGGATAACAGTATCGATGAAGTGGAACTGTATGCAACACAGAATCACGTCAAGACGAACGAGAGGGATCTTTTGGGCTGGTGGCGAGAACACCAAAACACCTATCCCAAGCTAAGTGTCCTGGCTCGCGGCATATTGGCTATCCCAGCTAGCAGCAGCGCAAGTGAGCGCAATTTCAGTGCTGCAGTGGACGCTATCCTCTTCCTTCATAGCTCCAAGTAAACCATGATGGTTGGATGTAAATAGTTCAGTTAAACGGCTAAGTTACAGCTTCAAGTTCAAGACTGGGTTCGAGTTAACAACGCTTCAAAATGAGTTCAGCAAGAGACAATGGACTTCAATCATTAATGGTAAGACATATTTTTTTAATATTTATCACTTCTGAATGCTGATAATGTGTAATGTGTTAGGTGTAGGCTACACCTGCTGTGGTGTTATACAGCAAACACCTGCTGTTGTCCTGTTTTGTTTCACCTTCACCCGCCGTGGTGATTGTTGTAACGTTAATATCAAGGTTACATGATAAACATGATGTGGTGCTGCTGTTTTCGCCTTCACCCGCCGTGGTGATATTGGCTTAATATTTGGCATCTGCCGTGGTGCTTTTGTACATTATTATCCCTGGCATTTACATTCTTTTTTTTTTTTCTATAAAACCTTGTAAGAGTGCCTGATTGGTGCCACGTATGTGAGGAATCATGTCATATTTTCATGTCGGAAATGACTCGTTTTTTGGCTTTATGGCAAGCATGGCAGTATTATTTTATTTTGCTGTATGTTGCGCATCTGCTTATATAAGTCGGGCTCGGTCGGGTCGGTAATAATTTTGGTCGGGTCGGTCAGTACCAAGTCGGGTTTGGTCGGGTAACAGTCTGAGAATCTCAGCCCGACCCCACCTCTAGTTGCTGTCTTTCTGTTGGACAAGTAATTATTTGTTTGCTTCGGGGGGATTTGTTATTTTCGTGGAATATGTAATGTTAGCCAACTTAGCTACTTTTGTAGCTCGTATTAGCCCAATGCTAACATTAGCTTCTCTGTCGGTGTACTGCAGGATGCGCGTTCAAGTTTGTGGGGGCGTGGCTTTGGACGGAGCACTGACGGGAGGGGGAGGAGGGTGGTGGAGCTGAGAGGAGGTGCCGCTTTCAAATCTTGCTAGCTCTCCAACATTACCAACTATGGCTTTAATTCATGTCAACCGGATAAACTGAGAAAAAAAAAAAGCTTTTCACATCAGCGGTGTGTCAAGGGACTATATTCAACTTATCTTGCATTGTAACATGCATTATGACAACTTAATAAGGTTTATGTTTGTTTATAAATGAAGTGGAGGAGCCTACAAGTGTTTAGTTTGTCTCAGAGGCTGCAGAGGGACTCCGCAGCTCCGCTCAGCTCAGCTGACTGTTGCTGCTGCGAGAGATCAACTTTCATTGGGGGCGGGGAAAAGTGTGAGGGAGCCAGCAGTCATTCAGTTTGTTGCCCTAGTAACTTCTTGGTGTCCTTCTGCTTATTCTTCTTCTTGTTTAACCTTGTGTGTATTTGCGCTTAATACAGCATTACCGCCACCTGGTAGATTGGAAGCGCATTACACCTATAATGGGCTTTTATTGTGAAAAATAGCTCAAATGTGATCCCCAGTGGTAAAATTAGGTATATAATTCAATATATCGGTTCGGTTCGATATTTGGCTTTAAATCAAACCGGTTGGAAAATTTTCAAACCGGCACAAGCCTAGTCTATGAGATCTCACACTTACAGACTCCTCAACAGTTTTGATCCGAGTGCTATTAAGATAATTAATTCATATTAATTCAATATACAATAGAGCATAGTGTGTTTGCTCCTTGGCTGGGCCAGTCGTGCAGATCAGTCTATACTGCTGCTGCTCTCATTACACTGCACTGATTTATATTATTTATTTATTTATTACTGCATTTTATATTCTGGTGTATTTTATGTGTCTCACTGTTGCTGGTTATTGTTTATTGTCTATGTCTTTTGCTGTTTTCATGTGTAATAGCCCAGAGATCACACAGTTTTGTTGTACTGCTGTGCAGTGACAATAAAGGCATTAAATTAAATTGAATTATATGTTCGATAGAGGGAGAATAATCTCAGAAGGATTCAGTTCAATAAACTGATTCTCATCCGTTTAAATTCCACCTGTATTTAACCTCATCAGACTGAGCAGTCGTATCACAGGTAACCAAAAAGACAGGTGTACCTCGTCTTCGTCTCCATAGTCGTCCATCCCCATATATTCTCCTTGACCACCACCAGGGGGCGACTCTCTGGGGACACGGCGTCTGGACGGAACAAAACAGACGTCAGGTGAGATAATGACATGTTGACATTAAAGATGAACTCTGTGGACAGGTGAGATATTTAACAGGCTCAATGACTGTCTGTAGAGCTTCTGTCCTCACTCAGTCTTGATGAGGATGTCCTGGTTTTTGGGTTCCAGCACACATTTACAGATCAGCTCCTGAGTGACGGGGATCGCCACATTGTTGGACACACACAGGTCGGACAGGTAGTCCAGGAACCTACACACACACACACACACACACACACACACACACACACACATACATACACACAGCATGAGAATAATACTGACACCAAGAACATACCTCTACTCCCTCCTGTCCCCCCCCCCTCACCTCCCCCACTCTCCCCTCGTCTCCCTCATGTGTACCTGGGCTCCCGGTTCTTGCGGACCAGGCTGACGAAGGTCTCCACCTCGGTCTTGGTGATGTGTTTCTCCAGCAGTTTGCGATTGTTGTGCAGCAGAGCGGTGATGGTGTCTTCCGCCAGGATGTCGTAACCGATCTGACTCTGCATCACCCCGAACTGCTTCGCTATGTGCTCCTGGGGGGGGGGGGGGGGGGGTTGATTCACATTTACTGGTAACAGTAACAAAGCTGCCATCACTGTCATCACCATCATCTTCATCATCATCATCCTCACCTGGTTCTTACGGTAGTCCTCCTGGGAGTGTCGGAGGACTCTGTAGCAGAGCCTGAACATGTACTGGTACGGAGCGTTCTTCTGGTCGGCCAGCTCCTCCAGACGCAGCAGAGGACCATCACCTCCCCCACGGTCCTTAAAGGGCGCCTTCAGGATGCCGAAGATCTGAACACACGATCACATGATGGTCATGTTTCCTGTTTCTGCCTCATGATGTCATTTTAAACCTGTGAGTGATGTCAGACCTGTTTGAGGATGTTCTGCTCCCTCATCAGTTTCTGTCTCTCTCGGTTGGCTTTGGTCATGACCACGTCTAGGACCGGCTGACCGCTGTTGATGACGTCAGCCACGAAGAAAACCACGTCCTCCAGCAGCTTGATGGCGAATCTGACCAACAGAAGACGGTGAACATTTACTCCCTGCTCTAACTACCATCAGATTTCAGGACTCAGAGACAGTTCAGGCAATATTCTGGCTGAATGTTAAATATAATTTCCAGAAGTGATCGATTCATTAGACGACAGACTTCCTGTTTCACCTTCTCTTTGTTCTTGAATCATTTCTACTGAAACATTCCCATAGACCGAGACGATCATCTGGCAGAAGACTGACAACATTTAACACCTCCTGATTTATATCTATTAAAAAGCTGAACTGACGTTTGACACATTGCTTGTTTTCTATCAATAGTCTGAAACTGAATAAATTATTCTTTAAGAAAAAACCCAGCTCTGCTCTGCAGCAGTCAGACGACAGTTTCTGACCAAAAGGGAAAAAAAAAAATATGAACTAGATTTTGAAAATGGATTTTTAAATTCTCAGAAAACGTGAAGCCTCAGCCTGAACTGAGACAACTAAATTTAAAGGTAGTTTTTGATCATGAACTTACATGAAGATTTCAGCGCAGATCAAATGTCACAGAGACAAAGAAAATCAAAGTGAGAGTCTTTACAACAAATAAACTTCCTGTTATTTTCCACGACTGTCACACTACAGACATGTACAGACATCACAGTGGTTTTTAAATCCACTCTCGCTGCATGGTGACGTACCGCCGGTCGTTCTGGCTGATGAAGCCCTGACTGAACTGGTCCACCATGGTGCTCAGCATGGCGCTGGCATCATTGGCAAAGTCCAGATCTCTGATCTCCATCACAGGGACGGAGACGATGGCGAACGCCTCCTTGTCCTCTTTGGTGGGACACGTCCCCAACTGCAGAACAAGAGACATAAACACACACGTCACACACTGACGGACAGAAACTCAGCTCACACACACTCAAACACATGGTCCATGTTCTAGTGACGGTCGGGGTTGAACTATGGTCACATGACTTTTCTCTCTTCCATTAAAAACTGTTTCACACTTCCTGTTTCTATGATTGAGACAAATACAGGACATTTATCTTCAGTAAAATAACTCTGACTGCAGCAGACTTTGATCTTCAGGACACATAGACATCCATTTGTCTTTATGTCACTGGGTCTGATTCTGATCCACACTCTTATTTCCTTTCAGTTCTCACATGATCTGATTTTATATTTGATTTTAAAACCTTTAATTTGTTTAATAAAAAAGTTCTCAAATGTTAAATGTCTCAACACAAGGAGCACGAGGCGAGTCTGATCAAACAAGTTGGTTGTTAGTGTTGGACAATCTGTGAGACTCTGCTCTGATCTGCAGACATGGGACAACTTAATCAGACCAATTAATTCATCAGCTGATCAACAGGAAGTTGATCAAAGTAACACCGGCTGTTGGCCTTTCCTGTCTGGATGGATCTGATCTAATGATCTGATCTGATGATCTGTGTGGAACCTTCAACCAACAAACCAAACAACATCAACTCTGACCCTGAGAGGAACTGACCATGAGTCTGATGGGTCTCTCCTCGTCTATGTCTATGGGGACGTTGGTGCTCTGGATCCAGGTGTTGGTGCACAGGTGTCTCAGTCGCACGTACGAGTTTCTGGAACACAAACAGACACTCTTTGTTCCTCTGATGGTTTATAGTCCTGAACTGTCCTCTGAAAGTTTATAGTCCTGAACTGTCCTCTGAAGGTTTATAGTCCTGAACTGTCCTCTGATGGCTGATAGTCCTGAACTGTCCTCTGAAAGTTTATAGTCCTGAACTGTCCTCTGAAGGTTTATAGTCCTGAACTGTCCTCTGATGGCTGATAGTCCTGAACTGTCCTCTGAAAGTTTATAGTCCTGAACTGTCCTCTGAAGGTTTATAGTCCTGAACTGTCCTCTGATGGCTGATAGTCCTGAACTGTCCTCTGAAAGTTTATAGTCCTGAACTGTCCTCTGAAGGTTTATAGTCCTGAACTGTCCTCTGATGGCTGATAGTCCTGAACTGTCCTCTGAAAGTTTATAGTCCTGAACTGTCCTCTGAAGGTTTATAGTCCTGAACTGTCCTCTGAAGGTTTATAGCCCTGAACTGTCCTCTGAAGGTTTATAGTCCTGAACTGTCCTCTGATGGCTGATAGTCCTGAACTGTCCTCTGAAAGTTTATAGCCCTGAACTGTCCTCTGAAGGTTTATAGTCCTGAACTGTCCTCTGAAGGTTTATAGCCCTGAACTGTCCTCTGAAGGTTTATAGTCCTGAACTGTCCTCTGATGGCTGATAGTCCTGAACTGTCCTCTGAAAGTTTATAGTCCTGAACCGTCCTCTGAAGGTTTATAGTCCTGAACTGTCCTCTGAAGGTTTATAGTCCTGAACTGTCCTCTGAAGGTTTATAGTCCTGAACTGTCCTCTGAAGGTTTATAGTCCTGAACTGTCCTCTGAAGGTTTATAGTCCTGAACTGTCCTCTGAAGGTTTATAGTCCTGAACTGTCCTCTGAAGGTTTATAGTCCTGAACTGTCCTCTGAAGGTTTATAGTCCTGAACTGTCCTCTGAAGGTTTATAGTCCTGAACTGTCCTCTGAAGGTTTATAGTCCTGAACTGTCCTCTGAAGGTTTATAGTCCTGAACTGTCCTCTGAAGGTTTATAGTCCTGAACTGTCCTCTGAAAGTTTATAGTCCTGAACTGTCCTCTGAAGGTTTATAGTCCTGAACTGTCCTCTGAAGGTTTATAGTCCTGAACTGTCCTCTGAAGGTTTATAGTCCTGAACTGTCCTCTGAAGGTTTATAGTCCTGAACTGTCCTCTGAAGGTTTATAGTCCTGAACTGTCCTCTGAAGGTTTATAGTCCTGAACTGTCCTCTGAAAGTTTATAGTCCTGAACTGTCCTCTGAAGGTTTATAGTCCTGAACTGTCCTCTGAAGGTTTATAGTCCTGAACTGTCCTCTGAAGGTTTATAGTCCTGAACTGTCCTCTGAAGGTTTATAGTCCTGAACTGTCCTCTGAAGGTTTATAGTCCTGAACTGTCCTCTGAAGGTTTATAGTCCTGAACTGTCCTCTGAAGGTTTATAGTCCTGAACTGTCCTCTGAAGGTTTATAGTCCTGAACTGTCCTCTGAAGGTTTATAGTCCTGAACTGTCCTCTGAAGGTTTATAGTCCTGAACTGTCCTCTGAAGGTTTATAGTCCTGAACTGTCCTCTGAAGGTTTATAGTCCTGAACTGTCCTCTGAAGGTTTATAGTCCTGAACTGTCCTCTGAAGGTTTATAGTCCTGAACTGTCCTCTGAAGGTTTATAGTCCTGAACTGTCCTCTGAAGGTTTATAGTCCTGAACTGTCCTCTGAAGGTTTATAGTCCTGAACTGTCCTCTGAAGGTTTATAGTCCTGAACTGTCCTCTGAAGGCTGATAGTCCTGAACTGTCCTCTGAAAGTTTATAGTCCTGAACTGTCCTCTGAAGGTTTATAGTCCTGAACTGTCCTCTGAAGGTTTATAGTCCTGAACTGTCCTCAGTGGTGTGATCTACTGTCAGCTCCTCTTTACAACAAACACTGCTTCACTCATCATCTGACAGCTCTGATATCTGTCTGATCCCTGTAACACTGCTGTCACTGAAACTAAAGACTTCCTGCACAGACATTTCACAATAAAAGTTTTTAGAGAGACAGATGTGTGCCGTCGTCTGACTGAACCAGCAGGTTAAATGGTTGAATGGTTGAATTATTTCAGTCCAGGAAGGTTTTAGATTTTTAATCTGATGTGCAGAAACCTGATTTCTTCACAATAAAAGCCTCAGTGGGACTTTGTCTATCTGTCATTCTCTGCAGTCTTTTATTGTGAAACATACAGGAAGTAAAACAAACCATGGTGATGTCCTACCGTGGTACGAAGGAGTCGGTCTTCTGCAGCGTGGTCGGGTCGAGCTCGAACAGTGAGGCAATGTCGTTCCCATGAGCTACTGCTACCAACTTGTACTTGATCCTCTCGCCGTGGGAGCGCTTGTTGCCACGACTACCATCCATCTACAGACAGATCAGAGGTCAGAGGTCAGAGGTGACAGAGTTCATGTGATCTTTACTTTAGACAGATGAACTGCTGCTGATCCTTTAGCCGTACAGATGTTAAATCAGTGACTCACCGAGGGCGTTGGCTCGGCATTGTCTCCTTTATACCCCGGGTTCTCCTACAACAACAACAACAACAACAAGTTAGAGCCAAACACATGATTCACTGCAGGAAAACAAAGAACTTCATCATCGATGACAAACACAGACAACAGTTGAGACTGAGCTCCGTGTTTCTGAGTTACAGGTGAGATAAATCATGTTGCTTCACATCAGAGCTGAAAATGACTCTATTAATTTATTAATCAATTAACAGGAAATTAATCTGTTTTAATAACAAATGAATTTTTGTAAGTTAAAATGACAATACGTGAATATCTGTGGAAATTTAATGATCTGAGTCCTCCAGGAGGGTAAACTGTTCATCCAATCACAAGTCACAATTATTCATTCATCCATCCCTCCACCCAGCGTTGCCATGGTTACCTCAGCAGCCAGGTAGTTGCCGGTGGCGAGGTGTTTGAAGCGGTAGAGGCTGTTCCAGTGTCCCGCTCCCCCACGACACGGATCATGATGGACAACCTGACGGACCAATCAGTACACAGAGTTCAACACAGCGACAGTGGCACAGGAAACAGTGTGTGTGTTACAGAATGTGTGTGTGTGTGTGTTACAGTGTGTGTGTGTGGTTAGGGTTGGTTAGTGTGCGTATTTGTATGTGTACCTCGACCTCCCACAGGGCATTGGAGCTGGTCGCCGACGTTGCAGACTGTCTCAGGGTGGTTCGGAGGAAAACGTGCAGTTTGCTTTTGTACTCGTCGCAGGTCAGAAACTTCTCCTGCTCTGCGTGGAACAAACGCACCACGTCGCCCTGACACACAGGAAGTCAGAAAGACGTTAAAGGAGCCCTCCGCAGAGTTTACCTCGCACTGTATGGCCTGAGTCAGACATACCGACATAACATCACAGTTTGACCTCATTCTTTTTGTAACTTTAACTTTAGACAAGTTCAGTTTCCATGGTGACGTGGTTTGTTTACCACATAAATCTGATTCACACCTCTGATTGGCTCTCGAACAGATTGGTTCTTGAACAGCTGAGGCTCATGGGTAATGTAGTACTTTAAGAGATCCAAAAAGTTAAAAAAAAAAAAAGTTCATATTTGTCACTCCCTCCGTTTTTCTCTGTCGTACTTCATCATGTTTTAAGTTTTCAAACTATAGCTCCATAATAATTTGGACGTGTAAACAGAAAGTAGAATGTTGCCATGGATTCAGTACGTTAGCAGTGGGCTACAAATTTAGCTCCAAATTATTCTGTTATCGTTTACACATTTTGGCAAATCAGCACCTTCAAAAACACAGCGAATGAAGTGTGTGTGAACCTGAGGACGTACAGAGAGCTGTCACTGATCAGTCTGAGACAACTTAAAGACAGAACGATTCTCCTTCACCTTCTGCAATTATAGGAACGTCTTTATTTATGATATCTAAAGAGATTTATTCACTGAACATCACTGAGATAATCTGTGGAAGAATCTGTGGAAGAATCTCTGCAGGTTTCAGTCACATGAAATCGTGATAATCAGGCACTGAGTGATTAAGAACAACCTTAATAAGCTCCATGAGCTGTGTGTGTGTGTGTGTATTTAAATCTGCTCCTGATGAATAAATACAAAGACTGTGATAGAGTCAGAACACAGAGCTGAGAGGTCGTCAGATCGACAGGTGAATTAAACAGGAAAATTTTTTTTCTCTGTCCACAGTATCAGATGAATTGATCAGACGTGTTTCTAATGTTTGTTTCTGTCTCTGTGAGAATCTGGAACATTTCAGGACAGGTCACACACACACTGACTCATTTCACTGGGTCACGGAGTACCATAGAGTACTCCTTTATACTGTGTGTAGTGTGTGTAGTGCAGTAAAAGTACTCAGTTACTGTGTGTAGTGTGTGTAGTGCAGTAAAAGTACTCACTCCTTTGAGGACTTCCTCTCTGTGGTCACTGAACATCATGAACAGGTTGATCTTCCAGCTGGTGTTACAGTTCACAGAGTTCACCTGCAGGGGGCGCATCAGATATACAACACTCAGCATCACCACTATACTCAATACTACTATCAGTCTGTCTGTCTGTATCTGTTCACAGAGGTCACCTGCAGGGGGCACCACAGGTCATCAACTATCAGTGTCAGTACTCTGATTACTCTGAGTACTCTGAGTAGTACTGTGTATCTCACCTCCTTGCAGCCTGGGTGGTCGCTCAGTTCGTAGTTGGAGGCGTGGAGCGGCTGACCGGCGTTCACTGGGTTCAGAATCACTTTATCTCCCACAACCACCTGCAACAGGAAACAGCACACACTCAGTACTCACACCACTAACAATACTACCAATACTACTACTATGAATACTAATACTACTACTAATACTGCTTAAAGTACTTCTACAGAGAACATCTGGTCTGATCTGCAGTCAGTCAGAGGTTTTATAGGATCAGTGTCTCCTCCATCTTACACAGTCACACTGACTGCTGATAACAGTGATTACTGATTATTATTGTCATTAATATTATTATTATTATTATTTATCCAGGAACTCCCACATGAACATATTTCTGTGTACATCTGTAAAATTTGTCCTGAAGGTGGCGCTGCAGTGAAGCTCAAGATGTGTCTAAACTCCTGATGATTCATCTTCTGGAGATCATGAACACGAGCAGAGTGACACACTGTGTGTGTGTGTGTGTGTGTGTGTGTGTGTGTGTGTGTGTGTGACACAGTGTGTGTGTGTGTGTGTGTTTGAGATAGTGTGTGTCTGTGTGTGTGTTCAGGTGTGTAGTATGAGGTGTGTTTACGTTGTCCCCGTTGGCGCGGAGCTTCCAGAAGGGCTGGATGAAGAGCCAGGAGCCTTCGTTCCCCGTCCCGTCCAGAGTGACCCTCATGGCGTTCTTCTCCAGCAGAGCTGGCAGACGTTTGTTCACCGTCAGGTATTTATTACTCTTCATGTGGAGCAGCTGAGGACACACAACACGGGCGATTATTTTTCCAGACATCAGACACACTTCAGGTACAACTGTGCTCATAGTCTGCACTGTACTCCAACATCACATCTCTTCTTCTTCACTGGTGTTAAAACCCATCACATGTACATCAGCACACATCAGATACACTCTGGTGATACTGTTCACCTGACAGGTACAGTCTGTGTTTCTACAGCCTGGATGATCTGTGTTACTGTTAAACACCTGTCAGTGACACACACAGCCCTCCACCACCATCAACATACACACCATCCTGCTGACACTAATGTGGATCCATCCGCTGCTGAAAATAGTCCCCTATGAGCAGCTGTCTTAAGGTTCATGAGTGAGTCTTCAAACATTATTCAGATACACTCAGACGACACTTTACTTGCTTTGAATCACTCCTGCTGTTCATGCTGTAAAATCAAACATCACTTCCTGTTTCAGTTTTAATATCAGAGGACAGAATCCAGATGTGTTTCAGAGTTTCTCTGCTGAGCTGCAGATGAAGGAAAATCACGCACAGGTCTGTGTAGTAAACAGACTGTGACTGTGGCAGGTAGATGTTCACATGGTCTGTCTGACTCAATGTGTCATGTGCCATGTTTCTACAGTAGCCAAGAGGGGACAAACCAAACACTGACACTTTTTTTTTTGTTTTCATTTATTTTTTATCAGGGACCATGTACAGAGAACATTGGACTCAACAGACTAAAGATGCACTGCCCCAGATTATAGCTTTTTAGCTAGTTTCCATCTGCAATCCCTGAGGCAGGCAAAAGAAGAAATAACAAAAGAAAAAATAAAATATTACAAAGAGACATATAAAAAGACAGACTGAAACGGTACAAGAAAATAGAGTGCATTGAAATCCATGGGACGACGCACACACAGCGTCCAAAGTGCTTGTGCTCACAGTTCCAGAGAAAACAGTCATACAGGGTGCGCACGCCCATACAGAGTCTGCAGTGTAATGAGGCAGATAGAGCACCCACATGTCTCATTTGGTCTTCATGTAATGTGTACATAAAGTACATAGTGCAAAATGAGAACAGGATATTCACAGGTGTTAAATGGCGATTAATCTACTACATAAAGTGCATGGTGCAAGATTAGAACAAGATAATCACAGGTCATATAAGCAATAGATCTACACACTAAAATAGGAGACACATACAGGGTACCTATACCAATATGCAATGGAACAGTAACTCGATCGACCGCTTATGAAAAGAAAAAGACAACAGGACAGCATACCTCGACAGCAGAGTACCTGCTCAATGCTGACAGTTTTGGTTACTTAAAATCATTTTTTTGCTTCTCTAGAGAAGGCTTCATAGTTAGCACAGATTTTCAAATCTGTTGGAAGATTATTCCATTCCGTTATAGCCTTGTACGAGAAAGCTGTTTGTGCAAAGGCAGTTTTACGTTTGGGAATACAACACTGCCACCTAGAGGTACTTCTCGATACCCTGCCCATCTGTTCAGAGATCAGCTGAACAAAGGGCTTATGGGGTGGAGGTGCAGTGTTGTGAATGATTTTAAAAACCAGACGTACATCTGCATACATGATCATGTTATCAACGTTTAGCATCTTATGTTTGTTGAGTATGTGGCAATGATGATACTGTCGTGTTTTCTTATCCAAAATTTTAAGAGCTTGTTTGTACAGTGACTCAAGGGGCTTCAGGGTCGTCTTGTTAGCTTGGGACCAGCATGAGATACAGTAGTTAAAATGTGACATAATCATGGCATTAAAAAAGGTTTTGGCTGCTTCCATCGTAAGTGAATTTCTGATACATCTGAAATTTGCAAGGTTGTATTTCAGAGCGCGACTCACCTGTTTTATGTGTTTTTTAAAACTGAGAGTGGAATCCAAAATGATACCCAGGTATTTAAATTCAGTTACATTAGTTATTTTTTCTCCATTTACAGTTATGTAGGGATAGTCCTTGTGCTTTTGTTTGTTGGTGAAAAACATGGTTGCTGTTTTCTTAACATTTAAAGTGAGACATGATTCATTTAGCCAGTTAGAGACTTTCTCCATGGCGACTGTTAACTTGGCAGCCACTTGGTCTGCATCCCTCCCATGTGTGTGGATAACCGTATCGTCCGCGTACATTTGTATGTCTATATCACAGACCGACAGGAGGTCGTTTATGTACAGAGTGAACAGTAGTGGGCCTAAAATCGAACCTTGTGGCACCCCTAGGAAAACTTCATGTTTTCATAGTTATCAGCCCCTCTGTGAAACATTGCTGACTATGAACCTGTGTGTTTCTGAGAGGAAGAGACCTCTGTGGATAATTCAGCTCCTCAACAATCAACACTGAAGGAATTCCGACCAGGAGAAGTTTCAACTGGTTGTAATCTGTGATCTATAATCTGTGATCTGTGATCTATAACCTGTTATCTGTAATCTGTGATCTATAATCTGTGATCTGTGATCTGTAATCTGTGATCTGGGATCTGGGATCTGTAATCTATAATCTGTAAACTGTGATCTGCAATCTGAAATCTGTGATCTGTGATCTGTAATCTGTGATCTGAAATCTGTAATCTGGGATCTGTAATCTATAATCTGTAAACTGTGATCTGTAATCTGTGATCGGTAATCTTTGATCTGTAATCTGTAATCTTTGATCTGTAATCTGTAATCTTTGATCTGTAATCTGTGATCTGTAATCTGTGATCTGTAATCTTTGATCTCTAATCTGTGATCTGTAATCTTTGATCTCTAATCTGTAATCTTTGATCTGTAATCTGTGATCTGTAATCTTTGATCTATAATCTGTGATCTGTAATCTTTGATCTGTAATCTTTGATCTGTAACCTGTGATCTGCAATCTGTGATCTGTAATCTGACATCTGCGATCTGTAATCTTTGATCTGTAATCTGTGATCTGTAATCTGTAATCTTTGATCTGTGATCTGTAACCTGTGATCTGTAATCTGTGATCTGTAATCTGGAATCCTCCTGAATCTGAACAAGTGTTGTTTTTTATAAAAGTTTAAATTTACTTTCTGCTGAGAACATTTACGTCTGCGGAATGTTTCAGTTTTATCTTGACTCTGTTTAAACACTGAGACGTGTAAAATGTTCTGCAGGTTAATGTGGAGCCACACCTTCAACACACACACACACACACACACAAAAACACACACACACACACACACACACACACCTTTCTCCTGCAGGATTCTTTATCTCAACAATCTGACACAGTTTCACTCAGCAGCAGCCACACCCAGTGTGTGTGTGTGTGTGTGTGTGTGTGTGTGTCATAGGCATATCAGCACAGTCAAAAGGACACGTGTTGCCGTGGCGAGGAGGGTGTGGTTTGGCTGGTTGACATGGCAGCAGGAATCTCTCTGTCAACACACCCTGACACAGAACAGTCCTGGAGTCTCTCTGAGAGTCTCATCAGGATCTACCTGTCCTGGATCAGCTGATCCTGCTGGATCTCACTGTGTTGCTGGTCTTTAAATCACCCAGAGGATCCGCTGATCCTGATCCAGAGTTGTGAACCCCAGACCTCAGACCAGCAGGTGGATCAGTCAGTATGGACGCACTGAGACTGGTTTTATCAGGACTCAACTGAACACAGGTTCACCACAGAGACTGACCTCAGACCAGAGTGCGACTGATCCTGACTTTATTTGAGTGGAGAAAAACCCTGCTAGCCACCAGGCTAATTTATACATTGTAAAATGCCATAGGCTCGTGCTCATAGCGTTACCATGTAGCAGGTTAAGTGGTGACTCTGTATTGCCTGTAGGTGTGAATGGCTGTCAGCTGGGATAGGCTCCAACCCCCGTGACCTCTGACAGGATAAGTGGTTACAGAGAGTGAATGAATGAATGAATGAATGAATTAATTAATTAATTAATGGATGAATGAATGAAAATTTCTTTGTTTCTTCTCACATGAATATTTTAGAAACCAACATGTGGTCAGATAATTAAACATGATTCTGTGTCACAGATTAAATGACACTAAAGTATAAATGAATTAAACTCTGCTTCATCTGAAACATTAACTTCCTGTTTACATGTGAATGACTGTGATAAATCTCCACTGACACACTGATCAAACACTGACAGGACAAGACTTTTATACTTCTACTTTAAAGCTTCACTGTGTCAGATTCAGGAGGATTACAGATTACAGATTACAACCAGTTGAAACTTCTCCTGGTTAGAATTCCTTCAGTGTTGATTGTTGAGGAGCTGAATTATTCACAGAGGTCTCTTCCTCTCAGAAACACACAGGTTCACAGTCAGCAATGTTTCACAGAGGGGCTGATAACTATGAACACATGAATGTCACTATCTAAGGTCAGTGTTTGGTTTGTCCCCTCTTGGCTACTGTAGAAACATGGCAGGGACACATCACCTGGACCGCAGTAACCTTTATCTATCCCCCACACAGACCGAGTCCTTTACTCAGACTGAGTCCCCCACACAGACCGAGTCCTTTACACAGACTGAGTCTCCCACACAGACTAAGTCCCCCACACAGACCAAGTCTTCTACACAGACTGAGTCCCCCACACAGACCGAATCCTTTACACAGACCGAGTCCTCCACACAGACTGAGTCCCCCACACAGACCGAGTCTTCCACACAGACTAAGTCCCCCACACAGACCAAGTCTTCTACACAGACTAAGTCCCCCACACAGACCGAATCCTTTACACAGACCGAGTCCTCCACACAGACTGAGTCCCCCACACAGACCGAGTCCTCCACACAGACTGAGTCCCCCACACAGACCAAGTCTTCTACACAGACTGAGTCCCCCACACAGACCGAGTCCTCTACACAGACTAAGTCCCCCACACAGACCAAGTCTTCTACACAGACTGAGTCCCCCACACAGACCGAGTCCTCTACACAGACTAAGTCCCCCACACAGACCAAGTCTTCTACACAGACTGAGTCCCCCACACAGACCGAGTCCTCTACACAGACTAAGTCCCCCACACAGACCAAGTCTTCTACACAGACTGAGTCCCCCACACAGACCGAGTCCTCTACACAGACTAAGTCCCCCACACAGACCAAGTCTTCTACACAGACTGAGTCCCCCACACAGACCGAGTCCTCTACACAGACTAAGTCCTCCACACAGACCAAGTCTTCTACACAGACTAAGTCCCCCACACAGACCGAATCCTTTACACAGACCGAGTCCTCCACACAGACTGAGTCCCCCACACAGACCGAGTCCTCCACACAGACTGAGTCCCCCACACAGACCAAGTCTTCTACACAGACTGAGTCCCCCACACAGACTGAGTCCTCCACACAGACTAAGTCCTCCACACAGACTAAGTCCCCCACACAGACCGAGTCTTCTACACAGACTGAGTCCCCCACACAGACCAAGTCTTCTACACAGACTAAGTCCCCCACACAGACCGAGTCTTCTACACAGACTAAGTCCCCCACACAGACCAAGTCTTCTACACAGACTGAGTCCCCCACACAGACTGAGTCCTCCACACAGACCAAGTCTTCTACACAGACTAAGTCCTCCACACAGACTAAGTCCCCCACACAGACCGAGTCTTCTACACAGACTAAGTCCCCCACACAGACCGAGTCTTCTACACAGACTAAGTCCCCCACACAGACCAAGTCTTCTACACAGACTGAGTCCCCCACACAGACCGAGTCCTCTACACAGACTAAGTCCCCCACACAGACCAAGTCTTCTACACAGACTGAGTCCCCCACACAGACCGAGTCCTCTACACAGACTGAGTCCCCCACACAGACTGAGTCCCCCACACAGACCAAGTCTTCTACACAGACTAAGTCCTCCACACAGACTAAGTCCCCCACACAGACCGAGTCTTCTACACAGACTAAGTCCCCCACACAGACCGAGTCTTCTACACAGACTAAGTCCTCCACACAGACCAAGTCTTCTACACAGACTGAGTCCCCCACACAGACCGAATCCTTTACACAGACTAAGTCCCCCACACAGACCAAGTCTTCTACACAGACTGAGTCCCCCACACAGACTGAGTCCTCTGGAGCGGCCCCAGGTTTGATCCCACCCTGTGGCCCTTTGGTTCGTGTCATGTCTCAGCCCCCTTCTTGTCAAACTCACTCTGTCTCATAACAAAGGTAAAAAGACCCCAAAAATAATCTATCACTAATCTATCAATAATAATCGTTAATCTTTACCTGTATGACAGTTCCATATTTGACAACATCTCCGTGGACCTTCTTGTTTTCTGTCTCGTTCTGTTTCTGCTCCAGGTTGGATGCATGCTGCAACACACACACACACACACACACACAAACACACACACACACAAGTCAGTGTATCTGGGTCTGTCATCAAACAATAACAAAGAACAGCTGATGATTATGTCAGAGTGTTGGTGATGACATCACATGTGTGCTGTTTGTGGACACACATGCGTGTGTTTACTACAGGACGTGTTAGCTTTAGCTTAGCACAAACACTGGCAACAGAATCAAAGTGTTAGCCAGCTGTTAGCTTAGGATGTTAATATTTTAATCTGTCATGTGCTTGTTGTTCTTTTGTTACGTAGTGCCTCTGAAATATAACGTCATGATCAGATGTCATTTAAACTGTTGACAGTTCAGATCAGTTATTAATTCAGTTTATTGTTAGCTTATTAGCATCTGCTAACAGAGGAGAGAATGTGGACGTTGTTAGGACTAACAGCTAATGTTAGCCTGGCTAGTGTTAACCTGGCTTTTCAAACAGGAAATCACATCTTTGTATTGCGTGTGTGTGTGTGTGTGTGTGTGTGTGTGTGTATCAGTGTGTCTGTGTGTGTGTTACCTGAAGTTTCTGCAGCAGGACGACGTCAGCGATTTTGTCCTTCTCATGTTTCGCCTGTTTCGCTTTCCAGAACTGTTTCTGAGCCGAGTACCGACTCATGGGACACACCTTAAAGAGACAGTCTGAGGACAGACACCATGGGAACAACAGGACGGGACAGGACAGGACATGATGGAACGGGATGGGACAGGACAGCACAAAAAACAACACAACAGATGAGAAGAGAATAAAATGTGTTAATAAAGTTAAATTGAATCTGACAGTGTGAATCCATCATTCATTCATCAGAGACATCAGAGGACACCTGCAGGAGGACGGAGACGTGTCTTTACATGTTGTATTTATTTTATTCTGCACACTGAGGGGTTACATGGCGTCTCACTGTGGTCAGTTGGGGTGAATACATCCAGAGCTCCTATTGGTTGGTGGACCAGCGCCTGAGGCTAACTGGTTGTTTTGGTTTTTAGAGAATCAAACTGGTGAAACATCTGATGTCACAAAGCTTACGTTAGCTCCACCCCCTTAATACAGAGACACAAACTGTGGACTCAGTCTGTTGTGTCCATCAGAGGATAGAGGCCACAGGACAGGATCAGAGGACAGGATGTGGGGACGGAGTGAAAATAGAGAGGAGGTAAATATTGACTCTCCTCCAACAGCTCCTGAACATTAACAACGTGACACAGTGCTACTGTGCGTCCGTCCCTCTGTCTCTGTGTGTGCTGAAGACAAATATGTCCCTGTGTGTAAGACAAACATGTCCATGTGTGTAAGACAAACATGTCCCTGCGTGTGAAGCAGTAAATGGACATTCAGGTTTAAAGACATCTTGACTTAAGGAAATAAATTTTAAACACACACAGAGTGTTTGTGCTTTCAGCTCAGAGTTTCATGTTTACATCAGACTGTCACTGATTCACTTTCACTCAGTCCATAACACAGACGTCCACAGGTCCACAGGTCCACACGTCCACAGGTCCACAGGTCCAAACGTCCACACGTCCACACCGACCGGCTGACAGGACGATAAAAACAGAACCTTTTGTTCCTAATTTTCTGATTTATTTCTCATGTTTTTGTGTTTTGTTTAGATCTCAAGATGAAACGGTGATGTCACTGTCGGAGGACACAGGTTAGAGTCTAAATACTGTATAGACATAAAATTATTAGTGTCTCCACTTCCTGCCGCTGTGATAATAAAGTTATGACATCATGTGTTTAACCTGTGTCTCATACAGGTGGAGTATGACCTCATCACACGTAAATCAGTCCTTTAATAGACTGGTTAAATGTCTCACTCTCCATCTGTCCTCTGACTGGAGATCTGTCACTGTATGATGAAGAGTGAGGAAGACTGATGAGACGTCTTCAATCAAACAGTTTCTCTGATGTCATCACACCTCACGTCATCGTTAAAATAAATGTCAGCTGTTTGTTTGTTTAAATTTTCAGAGTTTTGTTTCTGGGACATTTTTTTAGTCCAAATCTGCAGCTGGGAACACAGAAGGGGGGCGGAGCTATGTCACCTGTCCATCTGTCTGTCTGCCTGCCTGTCTCTCAGTGTGACCCAGTTATAAACTAGTCCATCAGTGTCCCTGGGCAGTCTCAGTTCAGATGGTCCAACATGTTGGACAGTGACCTCAGCAGCAGCAGCAGCAGCAGCAGCAGCAGCAGATGAACTCACATCATTTATATTTCATTAAAGCTCTCTGGAGCTTTTAACAGCTCCACTTGGTCCTTATGACAAAGAACTGACCCAGGACCAGGACCAGGACCAGGACCAGGACCAGGACCTGGTCTCGATCATGATGTATACCGCCTGATATTAATACATACTTTCAACATATTGTACCACAGTAGCCAGAACTATAACTATAATATTATTACTTTCAATAATGTTGTTGTAACCTACTGTCATTACCTGCATCTCTCTCTCTGTCTCTCTCTCTCTCTCTGTCTCTCTCTCTCTCTCTCTGTCTCATTGTGTCATATGGATTACTGTTAATTTATTATGCTGATCTGTTCTGTACGACATCTATTGCACGTCTGTCCATCCTGGAAGAGGGATCCCTCCTCAGTTGCTCTTCCTGAGGTTTCTACCGTTTTTTCCCCGTTAAAGGGTTTTTTGGGGAGTTTTTCCTGATCAGCTGTGAGGGTCATAAGGACAGAGGGATGTCGTATGCTGTAAAGCCCTATGAGGCAAACTGTGATTTGTGATATTGGGCTTTATAAATAAAATTGAATTGAATTTAACCAACAGAAACACATCAGAGGAGCGGCACCAACGGGTTCATAGCCTACATGTTAAATCAGGAACAGACACCATAAATAATAAATGTGATGCTCATGGATCTGAGTCCAAACCCCCTCCAGTCTAATCAGGTCTGGTCCTGCTGGTCCCTCCAAAATAAATTATCCCCTCCACATGCACAACTAACTGTTTCTCTCTCTCTCTCTCTCTCTCTCTCTCTCTCTCTCTCTCTCTCTCTGGCGTATGGCCTTAGACCTTCAGCTCCATTGCAGCAGACCCCACCTCTGCATTGCTGCACCAAAGTGTCCCATGCCTGTCCTCAGGTGGTTGAGGACTGTCCACTGCTTTTGGGGCAGGTGCTGGCCAAGAACATCCGTGGGATCTTCGATGTAGTGGTGAAGCCTTGATAGTTCTGCTGCCTGCCACTAGTTCCTCCATCTTGCCTTGACCCAGGAAGCCTTGCTGGTGTCAGCTGATGTTGTGCAGAGCAGTACCTGGGCATTTGTGGCAAAAGGGCGCTGGGACTTGGGGGGCACATGCGCTCTGGTGTCACTCATCTGTGCCTTTTGAGCGAGGGCCAGCGTGGCTGCTTCTCATCTGACCTCCGGTGGAGCGATACCAGCAAGGACAGGCAGTTGGTTTGCTGGGGTGGCTCGTAGGCATCCAGAGAACCTGAACCTGAATTTTATTTATAAAGCCCAATATCACAAATCACAATTTGCCTCACAGGGCTTTACAGCATACGACATCTCTCTGTCCTTATGACCCTCACAGCTGATCAGGAAAAACTCCCCAAAAAACCCCTTTAACGGGGGAAAAAAAACGGTAGAAACCTCAGGAAGAGCAACTGAGGAGGGATCCCTCTTCCAGGACGGACAGACGTGCAATAGATGTCGTACAGAACAGCGACAGAGACAGCCCGTAGGACGGTGTTGAGGGCAGTGTCCAGCTTCTTCACATGGGAACTGCGTCACCAGACTGGAGCACAGTACTCTGCAGCGGGGAACACCAGGGCCTTGGTGGAAATGCGCAGCATGTAGTACCGGCTAGGCGGTGTATCAGCGCAGCACAGGCGGCGGTCTTTGCCTTGACACTGTCCAGGTGTTGTTTAAAGAACAGTGTTCTGTCAAGCTTCACACCGAGGTACGCGGGAGAGGGTTGGAACTGTAGCTGGGCATCATCAACCATGATGGTCATTTTGCAGGTTGCTTCCTTGTTGTAGAGGTGGACAGTTCGTATCTAAAGAACTGGCGCCTCAAGCTCAGCATTAATAAGACTGTGTCAACAAACTGTTTCCTGCCGTCACAGATAAAACAGCACAACGTCTCTGCATCTGGATTTTTATCATTAAAAAGACACAATAACAACTTTATAATGAAACAGCCTCAAGATGTGTGAACAGATATGATTCAACTGAAACTGCTCAGTAAAGACATTTCAGATATTAAACAGCCGCTGTGAGAACAATGACAAATTCCTGTCCTGCAGCCAGTTAAACCTGCTGCCCTTCAGATTTAACTTCAGTAGAATCAACTTAAAACTGCTCCATCAGAAAAACACTGGTTGTTACCAAATATTTAAAAATACAGACTGTTTCAGATCTGACTGAAACACCTCCTGATATAAAACCTGCACCTGTATGCGTGACATCTCACACACACAAACACACACACACACACACACACACACACACACACACACTGTACCTCTGAACTTCTTGGGAGGATTCTCCAGATCTCCAGCAGCCGGTTCGACCACACAGCGGTCATCTACCAACCTGCAGACAAACACCACAGAAGAAGAAGAGATGTCTGTTAGAGATGCCAGAGGAGACGAGGAGATGAGGAGACGAGGGGACAAGGGGAGAGGAAGGAGGAGGTAGAGAGGAGAGGACAGGGAGGAAGAGGAGGACCAGACTGAGGAGGATGACCGAAGGAAAGAGGAGAAACGTTTTATATATATATATATATATATATATATATGTATACATATACACATATTCATTCATTCATTCATCTTCTAACCGCTTCATCCTCTTGAGGGTCACCGGGGGGCTGGAGCCTATCCCAGCTGACATTGGGCGAGAGGCAGGGTTCACCCTGGACAGGACGCCAGACTATCACAGGGCTGACACATAGAGACAGACAACCATTCACGCTCACATTCACACCTCCGGACAATTTACAGTTATCAATTAACCTAGTTCTCAATCTGCATGTCTTTTGACTGTGGGAGGAAGCCGGAGTGCCCGAAGAGAACCCACGCTGACACGGGGAGAACATGCAAACTCCACACAGAAGGGCTCCCATATATATATACATATATTCAGTTATATGTTTATGTGTCTGTTTGTTCAGTCTGAGATGCTTTAATGACCCTGTGAGTGTTTCCTGCCTCAGTTTAATGACACATGGTGTCAGGACCAGGTTCTGACTGCAGATCTCTGACACACATTAACACATCTGTCAAAGACCGAGGTGGACGACTCCAGTCACATGACCTGCACATGTGTGACTTCTCTGACCTCCGGTCAAAGAGGCGACTGCTGACCACCAACAGCTCACCTCTGATTTCACTGTCACAGACACATCAGCAGCCATATTCATCTTTAGGCTGGTCGACATATTGATCTCCAAATCACACAAACACCAGAGGAGCATCAGGATCAGAACCTTCATCTGATCAGGAGGATTAAAGAGGTTAAAACCTTTGTTACAGTCAGACTGAGCCGACATAGAGTCCCACACAAACATGACGACAGCATCAAACCACAGCAAACCACATATCTCAGACTACATGACATCACACAGAGCATTAAAGAGGCAGCGACAGTTTGTCAGGTGAGTGAAGCAGCTCCTGGTTTATTCTCAGTGTCACATCATTGAGTTTAACCTGCAGACTGATCCAGGGTCAGAGTTCACTCTTACACAGATGACACTGTCTTTTATTCCTCTTCATGACGTCACGCTGAGTCTACAGTGATCACTGAACCTGCTCCATCACCTGAACCTGCTCCATCACCTGAACCTTGTCTATCACCTGAACCTGCTCCATCATCTGAACCTTCTGGGCGGCGTCCTGTTCCACTGTCCAGACACACTGTTACGACACAGTTCATCACTCAGCGTTCAGACTCATCACTGCAGACGATACCAGGACAAACCATCACTGACTTTAATAAGCACACTGTCTCACCTGCAGCTGCAGTGTTAATGTTTATTTACTCATAAATGTCTTTTATGATTTAATGACAGGTATTTTTTCTTTGATGTGAGATGAAACCGATGATCTGAATAGGTGCTGCTCAGATAAAACAAACTGTCTGAATCTGTCTCATTTTTCAACATTTTCTGATATTTAACAGAAACGACGGATCAATGAATCAGGAAAATAATTATCATAATGAAAATGATCATTGCTTACAGTCCTGCTCTCGACATCATCACAACAGCTGGGACAAACATTAAAAGTACAGTTCACAGGATCAGAGCATCAACATGCATCTTGTCTTCTGACAGGACGTCACATGTTATGATGCATTAGAGGAACGCAGTGGTGAGTCAGGGTGGTACGAGGTGACAGAGCAGATACAGATCAGGTGTGAGATTAAACACATGAACTGTAAAGAGGAAACAGCACTGAGCTGCTGTCTGTGGTCACTCTTCCTCCTCCTCCTCCTCTGTTTATACACTCGGCCTCTGACTCATCATGTTTCCACTCTGTTCACAAATTCATTCACACTGACACATAAACTGTGAACTGCAGCTCCGCCAACAGCCAATCAGGATGGCCGCCCTATCTGATGAACCACGCTCCCAAAAAATTCATCTTCATTCATATACATTTATATCTAGGAAAGAACATTATGATTCATTTGGGTCTTAAAGTCAGTAAACACAGAATCACCTGACCAGACAATATCAATAATCAATACTATGTCATATATAAACTACAATCACCGGCCCACGGTTGTATGACTCCACCCACCAGTCCACCCAGTGGTTGTATGACTCCGCACACCAGTCCACCTTGTGGTTGTATGACTCCACCCACCAGTCCACCCTGTGGTTGTATGACTCCGCCCACCAGTCCACCCTGTGGTCGTATGACTCCGCACACCAGTCCACCCTGTGGTTGTATGACTCCGCCCACCAGTCCACCTTGTGGTTGTATGACTCCGCCCACCATTCCACCCAGTGGCTGTATGACTCCGCCCACCAGTCCACCTTGTGGTTGTATGACTCCGCCCACCAGTCCACCCTGTGGCTGTATGACTCCGCCCACCAGTCCACCTTGTGGTTGTATGACTCCACCCACCAGTCCACCCTGTGGTTATGACTCCACCCACCAGTCCATCCTGTGGTCGTATGACTCCGCACACCAGTCCACCCTGTGGTTGTATGACTCCGCCCACCAGTCCACCCTGTGGTTGTATGACTCCGCCCACCAGTCCAGTGTCTCTGACAGTCTCCATCCATGTCAGTGAAAACATGGATGCTTCACACACAGAAGATCTATACAATCAGCACAGCCAACCAATCCAGTATCACGACCAAATGTATCCCCTTCTGTTCCTGAGATATATGACCTTTGACCTTTTAACTTTCATTATTTTATCCTGTTAGCCATCTGTGTCAAGTTTGGTCAGAATTGGTGAATTAATTCTTCAGTTGTCGACAAAAGTAAAAAGTAAAGCTGCAGCAGCTTCTTCTGTCACACACTGATTCAGTCATCAGATAATGTCGTCTCACATCGATCAAAGACTCCTGAATCAGGTTCGTGATATTGGTAAATATCATATTGCTGTTCAAAGAATTGATATGATATCATATCGTGATAAAAACTGGTGATTCACACACTCGTTGGCAGATTAATCAGCAGCACAGAGTCTGTGGCAGCTAACAGCAACATACAACAGCTAACAACCGCAAACACCAGCTAACACCAGCATACAACAGCTAACAACAGCTAACAGCAGCATACAACAGCTAACATCAGCACAGAGCAGCTAACAACAGCTAACACCAGCATACAACAGCTAACAACAGCTAACAACAGCCAACAGCAGCTAACAGCAACAAACGTTAGCACGAAGCTCACAGCCACAGCAGAGAGCAGGAAGTGGCAGCTGATTGGTTCAGACTGACTGAAGGTTCTTTGGTGTTGATCATGTGTTTATGTGACCGAGACGTTAATTCATCAGAGACGTAACGACCGCTCTGCTGACACCTCTGATGTCATCTGTGTTTATACAGCAGGGGGAGGGGCTTATGTTCAGGATGCCTCCAGTGTGTCATCGAGCAGACTTTTAGCTCCGCCCACAAAGTCCTGGACACAGACATGATGAAAATAGTTTAACTCCACAGATCAGTCTGACACACACACTCTGTTTTCTGACATGAAACGTGTTCACACAGAAATCTGACTCAACTTCACAAAATTATTTTAGTTAACAGTTAACGAATCAGTGTGAGAAAATAAAAATACACTAACTGAAGTAAATAAACTCTGAGACTGATGTCAGTAACATGACACCGTGCGTGTGTGTGTGTGTGTGTGTGTGTGTGTGTGGTCATCAGAGTGAATCTCTCGTATCATCACACACACACCAGTCCTGCTCTATGGCTGAATGAACAGGTGATGGTGCTCGCTGCAGGAAGTTTAGACCTGGACTTTTATTGTGAAAGAACCACCTGGACTTTCACAGTAAAGGTCCTATTGTGTCCGAGTGAGGACACCTGTCTCACAGAGAGGAACTGAGAAGACACCTGTCTCACAGAGGACACCTGTCTTGCAGAGACAACCCGAGAGGACACCTGTCTCACAGAGATGAACTGAGAGGACACCTGTCTCACAGAGGACACCTGTCTCACAGAGAGGACACCTGTATTACAGTGACAACATGAGAGGACACCTGTCTCACAGAGAAGACATCTGTCTCACAGAGAAGACACCTATCTCATAGAGAGGACACCTGTATTACAGAGACAACCCGAGAGGACACCTGTCTCACAGACATGAACTGAGAGGACACCTGTCTCACAGAGAGGACACCTGTTTCACAGAGATGACACCTGTATTACAGTGACTACATGAGAGAACACCTGTCTGACAGAGAAGACACCTGTCTCACAGAGGACACCTGTCTCACAGAGAAGACACCTGTATTACAGTGATGACATGAGAGGACACCTGTCTCACAGAGGACAACTGTCTCACAGAGAAGACACCTGTCTCACAGAGAAGATACCTGTCTCACAGAAGACAGCTGTCTCAGAGAGATGACCTGAGAGGACACCTGTCTCACAGAGAAGACACCTGTCTCACAGAGGACACCTGTCTCACAGAGGATACCTGTCACACAGAGAAGATACCTGTCTCACAGAAGACAGCTGTCTCAGAGAGATGACCTGAGAGGACACCTGTCTCACAGAGGACACCTGTCTCACAGAGAAGACACCTGTCTCACAGAAGACAGCTGTCACACAGAGATGACCTGAGAGGACACCTGTCTCACAGAGGACACCTGTCTCACAGAGAAGACACCTGTCTCACAGAAGACAGCTGTCACACAGAGAAGATACCTGTCTCACAGAAGACAGCTGTCTCAGAGAGATGACCTGAGAGGACACCTGTCTCACAGAGGACACCTGTCTCACAGAGAAGACACCTGTCTCACAGAAGACAGCTGTCACACAGAGATGACCTGAGAGGACACCTGTCTCACAGAGGACACCTGTCTCACAGAGAAGACACCTGTCTCACAGAAGACAGCTG